CCAATATATGAAGGAATTACAATAACAGAAAAATTATGTCCTTTTTCTTTCAGAAGGTCACAGCATGACTTGATATATCTTGTAGTCGGACATAAAATGCAGATAAAGTAAATTGCACTGAAAATTAACCAATACATTCAACACTAACCTCTCAAACCATACTTCAAGAAAGAAACCTGACTAAAGCCTACAACCAATCTTGTAGCTCAATCTCATGTTTGCAAATCTCAACTATTTGGGATTGCTACACAAATTCATTTTCCTGTTAGTTTATTAGGCTTAGGGTCAGAACCAAAAAATCATTAAACTCGGATTTGCATGTTCCTCCACAATGATCACATTCTTTCGGCTTTCCTTCTGCTTATTCTATGTGTGAGACAAGATAATTCTCCTGATTTCTGAAGATGCAGACTCCTCTTTGAAGAGTCACTGTGCATGCTGAACACGGATTTGGAATTTGATCAATAGATTAGTCTACAAGAGGAACAAGCTAGTATCCTGACAAAATATCTTGATAACGGACAGTACCACATCCATTATGATATTATTGATTTATTTAGCTTAAAATGAATTCTTTTATATACAGCGAAAACATCAGTCTAGACTACAAGATTTTATAGCATAACCTCCAGATACTTTCCACAGAGGTCTATTAACTTCATCTTTCATAATACTCTTACAATCCTGTAAATCAAACAAATATCATACCTACGGAGCATGGGAAGTGGCCAGGTATCCATTACATCTTTGTCGTCCTTGCATTGTTCTGGCTCTTCCTGGGAAATGTCACCAAGTGACAAGGAGTTAGGCTCATTCAGAAGCTTGACAATGCATGATAAATTATCAAGAGAACAATACCTCAGCAAGAATATGAGATGATACAACTATATCCCAGTCAGGATTCTTTGTATCCAAAAGGACTAGGATTATATCAAATCTGCTCAGTAAGGGACCAGAAAGTGCAGTATTGACAGAAAGAGCTAGATGGTGTTAAGAATAACTACAGCAGAACAAATGACAATTAATATCAGACAAACCCCACGAATGAGAGAAAATAAACAAAGAAATTGTGGGAGACCTGTGACGAAAGATTTTATTCCATGCTATGCCAAATGATGCAGTGAGGATAATAGAATTTACACTGAGCAACTAATTTTGAAAACTCATATTGAATAAAGCTGCAATCAAGTAACTAACTCATTAAAACAGTAATTAAATTGATGCTCCTTCTAAATGTAAGTGATACATTGATCAGGATCAAACTGTCCTTTAGGATTGGTTGCACCAATTACAATTGTCCTCGTGCTAAGAGTTGTTACAAGGCCAGCCTGCAAAAAAATATGAGTGAGTGGAGCATAAGATGGTTTAGTAGACATGGATCGACTTAAACAATCAAATTGGTAAATTCCTAAGCATCCTCCCTGTTCTTTTCCCCCCTCCTTTTCGTAATTGTTAGTTCTAAAGTTTCTGCCAATTAAGAAAATGTAGTCGAGTTTTTCAAAATTTAAATAAATTCAAGCTCACTATTTTTTTTTAGATAAATTCAAGCTTACAATGCTCAGTTCTAGAATATGATAATATTGCAATTACGTAACAAATCAAGTATTAATTCCGATAAATCAAGATATTTAAGTGTGAAATTAATAATATTTACAATTACGAATAATTAATTTCACACAACCTAATATTTTTAATTATTCAAATTAAATGCAACAATAAAAGACAAAAAAAGTTGGAGAAGACAAGTACAAGCACCACTTGTGAGCATGTAGATTTCTAATCTAACAAAACTTAGGTTGTATTAATCTTACGAAACATTAGGTTGTAGAATCCTAATAATACAAAAATATAATGTTAGTGATAAACATGAATTATAATATAGATAAGAGTATATTTATCCCTTTAAAAAGCATTCCTGAGAGAAGTACATACAGCTACAATTCTTTTTAAGCACTGTTTGGAATATTAACTACACTGTTTTATGCTGCAAAAGAATCAAACGAAATAATCTACCTTGGCAACACTTATAGTCTGCTGTTCCATGGCTTCATGTATAGTCGCTCTGTCATGTTCTCTCATGCTGCCAAAGAAAAAAAGCTCTCTAATTGATTGTCTATCAAAGATTGAGAGTCAAGAGACACCAGGATTGAAGTAAAACACAGTCTCTTTTCATTTTAAAAAAATACAATATGATAGAAAAAAAAAGTAAAATATTTTTTTATAGGAAAAGAAAATATTATTACGAAAAAAGAGATTAAAGAATGAGGATACAATATCCTCTCAAAAGAAAACAAAAGAAAGAAATAGCAATTCATTAAATAAGACAACTCCCAATACCTTTGCAGAAAAGCAAAAACACAATCCCTGAAAATAACTATGAGCATGATTGACAGAATCATTAAAGATTTTAGCATTAAGTTATTACTCTTGTTACTTTGTTGAAGGAATTAATTTATGGTATTTGTAGGTTTATCTATGATGAAAGATAGTAGACACTGAGCTGATTTGAGAAAAGGATACCTATCAAATTCATCAATGCAACAAAGACCCCCATCTGCTAGAACAAGGGCTCCAGCTTCCAACATCCACTCCCCTAGGAACACCATGGAGATGTTTAGTCCCTTAAATAATGTGCACTGGATTATTCTCTGATAGCTCAATAGCTTCAAAGTAAAATTCCTTGAATGAGCAGGCTAAGATATTTGGTGAAGACTATAACATTTGTAGAAAATATGATAGAATATGTGGTGAATTAACCAACTATATCTGAAATGCAAAATGGCATCCTAACAACTGTTCTTTTAAATTTATTATGTTATGAGAACATAAGGAGATTATATGCAGAATCCCCATTGAGAAAATTATCATAATCTTATTTTTCCAGAAACATCTTCCTTACTGGAAAGTCGAAGCCAAAAATATTAGAACCCTCATGTCTGTGTTGATAGATGACATTTAGGTCCATGTTCCAAAATAGATCACCAATTTAATACAGTACGGAAACGTTCATTCAAATTATGAACAGCATCAACACACAGCACCATATTTCAATTTTCATGTAAATGACAGCTTCGGCACCAGTCTATGAATTAGAATGCAGACTAGTACAAATAAATATTATATGGCATAATATTTATAAGCCATCAAGCAAGCTCCAGGACAATATTACATAATATGACAGTTTACAAAGAAGAACATGACAAATAAATAAACTGATTGTCAAATTCAGCAAAAAAAACAAAGAAAAAGGAAAATAGCAATCAGAATATAGATTTTACTATACATAAATTCTAAGGCAGCAACCAAGCAAGATAATCTAATTACCACCATCCTTGACTGCAGTGACAGTCAAGCCAGCACTAGTGCTTCCAAGCCCGGTAGTAATAACAGCTCTGTTGCTTAATTTCGCAGCAAACTTCAAGAACTGAGACTTTCCAGTACCTGCAAAGGATGTAGCACTTCAAGCCATTTTAATAAGAACTCATCAAGGTATCCAATCTCTATATCAGATAGGAA